CCTCAAGCCTGGAATGCTCTCCCTCCTCACCTCTGCCTCTTGCTTCCTTCAAGACTCAACTAAAACCTGACTTTCTACAAGATGCCTTTCCAAGTCTCTTCCACTGCCAGTATCTTTTCTCTGAGGTTCCTTCTTGTTTGCATTACATGTGTCTTGTTTGTACATAGTTGTTTGTATATTATCTCTCTTTAGAGTGGGAGCTCCCTAAGGACAGGAACCATGCTGTTTTAGGTAATGCATCTTAGCTGGGGATGCTAAGAGGTGAAAGTGAAGAGGAGGCATGGACGATAGTCTACACAAGAGCATGGGGTAGGAGAAGGAATGTTGAGTTTGGGGAGCAGTTAGTGGGGCAGTTCAATTGGAACCTAGAGTGTGTGATGTAAAGTGATCTGAAATGTGTTAACGGTTGGTAGAAGCCAGGATTTGAAGGACTTTAAATGTCAGGCTGAGTTTGCATTTCATCCTAGGAGTAATAAGAAGTCCCTAAAGATTTTTAAGAAGAAAAGCATTGTGGTCAGACCTGGAAAAATATTAGTTTGGCAGCCAGGCAGATGATGGGTTGAAGAAGGGAGAGACTAGCATGAAGGAGGCCAGTGAGAAGGCTGTGGCAATAGCAACAGCAGTTTAAGGGACGAAGGTCTGAGTTAGGGTAGCGTCCTTGTGAATGAAGAGAAGGGGCCACATGGGAGAGGTTTGGTAGAACTCAATTTGAAAATGATTCAATAAGGGGAGAGGGGAGGATGGGGTAGGGTGGGATGATGTTGAGGGTTTGGGAAGAATCTCTCCCTTATCCGGGCAGTGACCATGCCTCTACCAAAGATAAAAAGGCAGGCATTTGTTATGTAGCTACACAGACATATAAATATTTAACTGGTTGTCATGGCCTTTGGCTCCTACATTTAGAATGTGCTACAAATGAAACTCCCCTTCTTCACTCAATTTTCCTGTGTCCTTATGTGTTTTGGAAATGAGTTTATGGAAACTTTATGGATGTTAAGAGTCTAATTAAGAGAGCGCTGAATTTAGAATCAGAGCCTAGGTTCGAATCTTGTTTCTGTAATTTACTCTATATGGTTTTGGCTAAGCCATTTAACCTCTGTAAGCTTGTTTCCCCACCTTTATTCATTTTTTAAAATAGTATTTTATTTTTCCCCAATTACACAATTTTTAAATATTTAAAAAATTTTTTGAGTTCCAAATTCTAGTTTCCCCATCTTTAAAAATGAGGGTATTATACTAAATTATCTCAAAGATCCCTTTCAACTCTAAATCTATAATGCTATTATAAAGATGGGGGGTTGTATCAGCTTAGACAATAACCCCAACCCATCTAAAGTAAGTGATAAGTTGCTAAGTCCAGGGGAGAATACATCTGGATTGAATAAATTAGAGATATCAACTAAGTGTGAAAGAGACCTGAATATTCCTTTCCCAAGAGAGACTACAGTATTTTTATTTTGTGACTGCCTGTAGGATTGGTTGTTTAATTTGGCTCTTTATCTATGAACATTTGAAGATTTTCCTGTAATGTATTGCAGACGTATAGTGTCTCACTACCGGGAAACTAGTGGATAGAGTACAGAGCCTGGAGTTAGGAAAACTCATCTTCCTGAGTTAAAATCTGGTCTCAGACACTTATTAGCTATGTGACTGTGGGCAAATCACTTAATTCTTTTTGCCTCAATTTCCTCATCTGTGAAATGAGACAGAGAAGGAAATAGCAAACTATGCCAGTATCTTTGCCAAGAAAACTCCAAATGGAGACAGGAAGAGTCAGATACAACTGAAATGACCGAACAACAATAACAAGTGCCTTATTTTAATTATAATTAGATTATGTGAAGCTCTGAGTGTCTATCCATTCCATTCATCTTAATTTACTCTCCCTCCTATCTTAAGTCTATGAGACATTCCTCCAAAGGATTTGTCATTGGCAAACCCATATACTGAAATGGTCAATTTAAATCAGGTTGTCATTTTTAAAGCTGTCATTAATATCCAGTAGAAAAGCAGGACTGACCAGAATCATAAACTTTTAGAGCTATTAGGGACACAGAGAGCACTGTATCCAAGCCCCTCATTTTTACATGAGGAAACTGAGGCCTATGGATTTGAAATGGTTTGACTGAGGTCTCACAAGAGGGCTGAAAGGGACCTCGGAGTTAATATAGCCTAACCTCTCATTTTTCATATGAAGAAACTGAGGCTCAGAGAATTGACTCGCCCAAGGTCACATGGGTGATGTCTGAGGTGAGATTTGAGCCCATAGAGCTTTAACGTCATTGCCCTGTACCACTACCCACTTGTAATAGAAATGGAACTAACATTCAAATCCATCAATTTCAAATTCCAAGGCTCTTTCCACCACACTATGCTTACCAGCCTCAGGGATGGCATTCAGTTTTCACCTCATCCTTCATATTATTTTCCTTACAAACATAAGGGCCTTCAGGGAAACAGCTGAAATCATGCCCCATAATTGCAAGGCTTAGCTTGGTGATTCCAAAGCAGAGGAAGCCAATTCAAGTAATCCCTAAAACTGGAGACCACCAGCTGGAGTTTAGTGGCTTCAGAATCTGATACCAGCAAACTGGCCTTTTGACTGATGAACCATGGTAAACATCAGTGTTTCAAGCCAGGCATGCCTAATGGAATCACCATTCCAGCACTGGCTCTCCAAGGAACATCATTTGCATACCGACGGTTGCTAGAACTCTGTCCTCTCCGCGGTTAAAATAAACCTGAAACCTAATTCAGTTGGGCAAGACAGCCAAAAAGTATAAAAATATTCCCTATCTCCAATCCCCTGCTCCCTCCTCCCCAAGCCGATGAATAAATCCACAGCCTCCAAGACACCTTAATCACTAGTCTCCAATTTTTGGGCAATTCCTTCCTTTTCAAGTTTTCAACTGAGCTCAATGTAAAAAAACACCTCCCAAAATACTGATGCAAAGAGGGGCTGCTATCACTTTAAGCCACAGAGACTGCTTTGAAAAGAACCTTTTTTTTTTAACAGTAGCAAAGTGGGGGAGATATATGTGAAGGAGGACAGGAGGCCCAAGGGCTTGCCACACCCAGCTAGGCTCAGTTCTTCCTCCATTACAATGCTGAAGATGAGGAGACATAAGGGACATTTCTCCTCTCAGCTTTTCACTCCAGTCCCATTTTCAAAGCAGTTTCTTCATTTTCTCTCTCCTATGGTTTTTGAAAAAAAAAAAAAAAAGGATTTGAGAGTGAAGCCAAAAACAGCCAAAAGCTGGCAGCTAGAAATCAGATGATTACTGCTTCCATCTGACTAGCAGGGATAGAACTAAAGGAAAAAAAAAGCGAGGTGGGTGGGGATTTAAGTGAATTTTCCAGAGCAAGGAGAATCATAGAACCATAAAGATCCCACACCTCCAATACACAAACATACTTTGAGGTACAGGTCCAGACGGTCCAAAAGACATGTTTTGAGGCAGCTAGGTGGCACAGTAGATAGAGCACTGGGCCTGGAGTTAGGAGGACTTGAATTCAAATCCAGCCTTAGACACTTACTAGTTATGTGACCCTGAGCACATCATTTATCTCTACCTGTCTCAGTTTCCTGAGTATAAAATAGAAGTTATATCAGCTCCTACTTTGAAGAGTTTTTGTGAAGATCAAATGAGATAATGCTTGTGAAATGCATAGCACAATGCCTACTACATAGTAATTACTATATAAATGTTGAATCTCATCCCTTTTGTTCAAGGTTTGAGACAGCTAGGACATGATAAAGAGGAAGCACTAGTAAAATGAGCACTAGCTGTGGACTCAGAAGACACTGAGGTCACATTGCTGTATCTGATATTTATTGTCCGTACGACCTTGCACAAATCATTTAACTACTTTGAGTCTCTGTAAAATTATGGGGTTGGATTCTTATTGGATTCCTAGATTCTTACTGAGCTCTGGCTTGATGATCCTATGACAAGCCAAGATGTGAACCCAGATCTCTTTTATCTCCTTCAGTCCCAGACTTGTGTTCTTTCATTGTTCCGTGTAAGTTTTGAGATGCCAGCCTTCTGAGAGAGGCTTCATTGGAGAGATAGCATCTGGAGGGGAGCCTCAGTCATAGGCAAATGATTTTTAAAAGGGAGTGCAGCCACGGGAAATGAGCTGCTGAGAGAGGAGTGATGAGATGAAGGTCTGCCATGGCTGATGCCCTGGGGTCCAAGCAGACATCCATCTGGCAAGGATGGTTGCAGAAATCATGAGGTCAGCTTTGTCACCAGGCACTGGGAGTCTGATAGAGCTGACCCATGGAAAGGTAGACATAACCCAAAGATGTTAATTATTTTCTCACCAGCCCTGCCCCTCCATGGTCATGAGACATCACAAAATATAAATCCACATTATATGTGCACCCTGGCTCTGTGAAGCTAAGTTTCTTTGTATTCTGCTCATGATAAAGCCCTCTGATAAAGCTCATGGTAAAGCTGTAGGCCTCCTGCCATGTTGCAGTGAGTACTGTCATTCTTGCCCCAAAGTGAGATGTGTTGTGGATTTTTACTCACTCCTCAAAAATGACTTAGTCATGAAACAAGTAGGTTGGGGGAGTTAGGGAAGAAAGGGGGTGCTATAATGAAGGAACTGTCTCTAAAGGCACGTTATTATTTGGGGCTGGGGCAGCAAAACTTGTCCCAAATGAAAGAGATGAAAGAATATACTGGAAATGAAGAAGGAGCTTGAAAACACGGAAAGCAGAGTGCATGTCCTGCCTAATCCTCTTTGTTGCCATTCATGTGTGAGTCTAAGTCATAGTAACTCCTTAAAGACATCAGCATACAAATGGGTAAATTTGGCAATGAAGATTTCCTATCCTGGTTAGATAAGCTGTGCAACATGGTGACTGTTGTCCACCACCCCACCTTCAGCGTGCCTGATGAAGGCTTTGGCAAATACCTGCCCTGTCCCTCCCAGGGAGGACGGGGAGCTTTGCAATTACCCTAGCCCAAATAGAGGAGACTACATCTTACCATTCCATTCCAGCCCTGTTGATCTCCTCCCACCAGCATTCTGTCGGCTCCCCAAGACTCTGGGGGGTGGGCAGGCAGGCATAGTTCCACTGCCTATCGGAACCCTCCTTCTTACTGAAGATGCTTCTCACAGCCACCACCACCTGCCCGTGGGGGCACTGAAAACTGAAGCCTTGTCGGTTCAGATTCACCCAGCCGTCATCACCATAGTCATGATACTGATAGCGGTAGTCACCATACTGGCCCTTGGCTACCATCGCCAATGGTAGGAGCAGGCAGAGAAGCGTGAGGTCCATGTTGCCTTTGCTCCTGGCATGGAATTTCAGCCTTGGTTTGTCTGGCTGGCCCCTTTATACTGCCTCAGACATGTGGTTTCCAGATGTCGATGAGCTTGATCCAACTGCAATGTGTCATTGTTTTAACAAAATCTCCCTGCCTCAGACGTGTTGGCCACAAATACATCGAGCTACTTTTAAGGTGGACTTCTCCAAGCAACAGAAGCTAGAGGAGAACATATGTGGAGCAGACCCTGGAGGAGCAACATTGCAGAGAGATCAAAGAAACCCACCTCTCCCTCTGGCACGTTCATTTGCAGAATCTGCATTTAGTCATCATCCACCTCTCATTTCCTCAAAGGCAGAGCCTTGAGCTAGTCTTCTGATCACCAGGTGGGGATGACTCCAAATAGATCTCCTCCAAAAGCTGATGTCCCGACACAAGTTCCCAAAGTAGGTGATACCACCCCCTGAGGGTGCTGGAACAATCCAGGGGGGATGGTATTTTTTTTTGAAATAACACGAACTTTAAAAAAAAAAAATGTTAAAGGGTTAAAGAAAGTAGATTTCCAGGGGGATGTTGAGTATTTTTTTTTTTTGAAAAGGGAGTGGTAGGCCAAAAAAGTTTAGGAAACATCAGTCTAGGAAACATCAATTCAATTCAACAGACTGTTACTAAATGCAGGATATTCTGCTAGGTGCTATGGATACATAGACAAAATCAGAGTGGTCCCTGCCCTCAAGAAACTTACATGCTACTGGGGCAACAGCAAATGGAACACATGCTTTGACACAAATATCCCATTGCCAGGTATTTACAAGGTCAGAGATAGAAAGATCCCATGTACACTGCAGTATTCATAGCAAAGTAAGGTTGTGGGTTTAAAGCCAGAAGGCATAACAAATCCAACTCCCTCATTTCATAAATAAGGAAACTGAGGCAGATGAGGGTTAAGTGACTTGCCTGAGAGTACACATCAAGTAAGTGTCTCAGGAAGGATTTGAATTCGGGTCTTCTAGACTCCAAGTCCAGAATTTGATCAATCAGGGAAGACAAATTAATGTGCCATAAAAGGGAAAACTGACTATGAAGAATGCAGGGTCTTCTTGTTCTTGTTCTTGTTCTCATTCTTGTTCTCCTTCTCCTTCTTCTCCTTCTTCTCCTCCTCCTTCTTCTCCTTCTCCTTCTTCTTCTTCTTCATCATCATCTCCTCTTCCTTCTCCTCCTCCTTCTTCTCCTCCTCTTCCCCTTCCTCCTCCTCCTCCTCCTTCTTCAGCTGGGCCTTGAAAAAAATTATGGAGTCTATGATACATAAATATATAAAGAGAGAGTGTATTATCTCTTGGGTAACCTTATGGGTATGAGTAACCTTACCTGTGCAAAGGCACATAGAATGGGAAGACCTGGTTGACTGGAACAGAAAGTGTGAGAAGTGATTATGTAATAAGAAAAAAGGAATGGAAAGGTAAATGGGAGCATTTTTGGAAGGCTTTAAATGCTAGATTGAGGATTTTGCCCTTTTATCCTAGAGGTAAATATGGAGTGCCTGAAGCCTTTTGAGTATGGGGATGTCATGGTCATATATATATGTATACATGACACACATTTATCTTTATATATATATACACACATGATCATATATATACTTATGTATATATATATATATATACATACATATATATATATATGTAGAGAAAAGTGAATGGATGCAAGAGATACTATGGAAGTAGAATCAACTAACTTGTCAGGATATGGGAGATAAAGGAGAGGGAAGAGTCAGTAATCCAAGGTTATAAACTTGGGTGACTAGAAGGATTATGGTTTCCTCAACTGAAATAGGGAAGTTTTGAGGAGGGATGGGTTTTGAAGGAAATAAAATGAGTTACATTTTGGACATAATTGATTTTGAGATTCCTATGGCACATTCAGATGCAGATGTCCAGCAGGCAGTTGGTAATGTGGGAGTACAGTTCAGGACAGAAATAGGCATTGGATATATAGACAACAGTTAGCTGCACAGAAATGGTAATGAAACCCATGGGGGTTTATGAGTTCACAAAACAAGAGACTATAGAGAAAGGAGAAAGAAAGGTTTAGGCAAGCCTTGGGACCCACCAGCATTCATGAAGCTAGAGCAGTATGATGAATCAGTAAAAAGACTGAGAAGTAATAGTCAATCAATCAACCAATCAATAGGCAAGCATTTACTACCTGCCTACTATGTGCCAGGCACTGTGCTAAGAAGAATCATGGGAGAGCAACATTACAAAAACCAAAGGAGAAGGGAGGGTCTAGGAGAGATTCCTCAATGGTGTCAAAAGCTGTAGAGGTGGTGATGCCACTGAATTTAATAGTTAAAATTTCTTAGTAAACTCTGTGAGCAGTTACAGTTGAGTGTTGGGAGTAGAATCCAGATTTTCAAGGTAGTGAAAGCAGGATGGTGAAACAAAGGGAAATAGGTTTTTTTGCTTTGTTTTCTTTTTAAGGATAGGAAAAATGTGGACGTGCTTGTAAGCAGCACAGAATGCCCCGATAGATAAGAAGAAATTGAAGATGAGAGGGAGAAGGGCATTATTGAGGCAGCAATCTCCTCACTCTTACCAAAGGATTGTGGAAAGGAGAGCAAAATTAACTGAATTTCTTTTAAGACTGGTGTCTTCCTCGAATTCATAGATTATAGAATCTCAAGAACTGGATGAAGTATTAGTGATCATCCGATCAATGAGTTTTTAATTTGATGGTCTATCTACTCCAAAGTGTCCATGGATTCATTTGTTTTGGGGGAGGGAGTCTGTTAACTTTGATAGAAAAAATGATATCTTTATTTTCACTAATCTTTGGTTTCCATTGTAATCCCATGTGTTGTATTTTCTGCATTTAAAAACATTATTCTAAGGAAGGGTCCATGAGCTTTATCAGATTGCCAAAGGAGTCCACAACATTAAAAGGTCATGAGTCCCTGAATCTAATCCAACCCTTTTTATAGATGAGGACACTATAGGTCAGAGAGAGGGAAGCTGTTTGCTCTAGCTCACATAGGAGGTTAGTGGGAGCGTGAATAATAAAACCTGGGTCTCTGGTCTCTAGTTTAGTCCTTTTTCTATCAAATCCTGGGGCTTCCCATTACCAAGTTTCTTATAGTCTTTGGTTTCAAAGTCTCTGTGTTACTTTGCATGATTAGATTGTGGTTTTGGGGGGGCTTCACTGGTGAATCCCTTGAAGGCAGTTAGGTCATGAATTATTTATTGAATACCTAAATACCCCAATACTATCCCTCCATTCCTCTGTGGACATGTATGTAATAATAGTGTTATCTATCTATCATCTATTTACAATTATTCTATACCATTGAACCTCATAGTCTTTGGGCATAGGTGAATCTTAGGGGCAGGCCTGGCTCAAGTTTAACATTGCCTCATAGATCCTTGAACCATTTACTTAGCCCTAATATAGCAAGAATATTCAAGAAGAGTACAGTAGCATTTAGCTTCAGTAGATACAATCCTTTTCATCTCCATATGGAAATACAGTGGTCAAGAAGGCAAGGTGTGGTGGCTTATGAGGTCTTAGGACATCCACCAAGTCTAAAGAGCATAGACCCTATAAGGTTGGAACTTTTTATGGTATTAGGTAACAGGAAGCCATGTCAATGTAACTAGAGGCCACCAGGAAGCTTCACCATCAAGGGAGGTACAATTTGAGCCTTGCCCCATCCTTTGAGTTAAACAAGTCTGGCTTTGTCTTCCCTTAGGGAAAATCTATCTTAACCTACATGGGGAGACTCTGGTCAATATTGGTCCTATAACAGCAGGGCAGGGTCATTATCTCTATATTACAGTTCAAGAAACTGATACCAAGAGATGTCAGGTGATAGTGATTAAGTGGTAGAAGTAAAACTCAAATCTAGACCTTCTAATCGGAAGCACCATGTTCTTTACCCTGCTCCCAGCTATGTCTAGGTGTCCACATCTAACCTAGTGTTTACATCACTCTATGATGTTAATAATGACTCATATTTATATAAAACTTTCAGCTTTATAAAACACATTCTTCACAACAGCCCTGAGACAGGCTTTACCTTCCTTTAGCAGAGGGTGCCCAGGTCATTGGGGTCTCCATCGACACCTAGGCCCCTGGCTGAGTGCCATCTCCATCCTTGCCATCCCTGAACTAGGGAGGGTGGGTCTCCAGCTGTACCTCCCTCTGGCCACTTGTGAAGATGCAGCCAGCTCTACACAGTTATCACTTAGAGTGCCTTAGAAAACAGTGAAGGCTCAGCCCTCTGTGACCATCTAGCATTTACATCTATCGTTTTCAGGACTCCATCTAGGTCCAGACCCTAAAACCCCAATCCTGATCAATAGCTGAGTACACATTCTACATATGGGTATCTTTGGATTCATAGCATCCTCTACCATCCTGGCATGAAGCAAAGAAACTGGAGTGTGAGTTTTGTCAGGGCCCCAAGAGGCATGATTACCAAGAATTCACTAAACCAGATGCTTGAGCCCATCTCTCCCCTACCTCCACCCCCTCCCTGCTCTCTGGAGTTTGGAGAGGACAATCTCTGTTATCTCAACAGATTACAGGGTGGGGAGGGGGGGAAGGATTCAATTGGTACTCTACCTCCATCCCCACCCAGTGGTTAGCAAACTCCCACCTTCTCCTCTGTGAATCAGTGAATCAATTACTTTGCTGAATTGAAAATCCCCTCGCCCTGTTAAAACTCCCACAGATCTTTGTAACCCACTTCCGTCTTCACTAAAATGGTTCAGAGGAAATAGCATTGGATCTAGAGTCTGGAAATCTGGATTCTAGGACCAGCTTCAGTGACCTTTGGAAAATTACCTCACATTTCTAAGTCTGTTTCTTTATCCATAACATGAAGGGAATGGACTCAATAATCTCAAAGATCACTTTCAGATCTGTTATTCAAGGCCTCTATGAGCTGATCAGTATTTGGCTGCAGTTCCATGTGACCAAAAATAGGATCTGAATGAGCTTCGCTCCTCACCAAGCCCATCCCAGTTTTACTTACAATATCATACTGTGTCAGGATCAGCATG